ATGTTTCTTTAAGTTCATGACTATACACTATACTATATCAAAATAGTTTTTATATATCAAACAAAATTTTATATATCAAGAAAGTTTTTTATATCCCAAATATATAGCGTTTATCGAAAAGGAACCAAGCTACAAAAACTGTTTCTGGGGTGAAAAAAATTATTTGCAAAATAAATCATTTTTAATGCTGCTCAAAAAATTAATAATGAATTGGGAACCTTCTTAATCTTTTTGAGAAAAGTTTCAAATTATGATTAACCTTTTGAGTAATATTAAATATGAGTTATTTTTCAAATAATTTTACCAAGCCCAGAAAAAGTTTTTGGCGCTTATTTCCTTTTCGATAAGCGTTATATTATAATATAAAAAAATATTATATATCTCAAATATTATTATATACATATATCAAAAAAATATATTTAAATATACAGGTTAAACTAAACTTATATTTTTGGCACAAACGGCGCCTCATATATACCTACTTAAGAATTAAATTGAGAAATTTATTAATAAAAAAATGTATTTTTTAATAACCACATCTGTGTATACAATGTGTTTACTTAAGTTGGCAACATATGGGAAACTTTTTGTCAAATGTCAAAACATCAGAATTTGCTTATTACTTTCTGAACGGAACGGAAAGGTTATCATCTTTGTATTAAATAAAAAAGATAAATAAAATGTTCGGTATCGGTAATTTCAGAAAAATTTGTACAAATTTTTGTTAAGTAGAAGTATGTAATTGCATACTACAAAAGTTTATATACAAAAGTGCTCTTTTAGTTCCACCCTTACTTCTTAAGAAGTCCCATAAGCCAACTGAATGGCTTGTGCGGGTTAGGGGTAGGAACGGACCGCTTAAAGTCCCCTCCGAAACATAGTTTTTCATTTCTAACAACTTTTCAAAATTACAGTTGTACTTGTACCAAATTCATATTTGATGATTTTATTTTAGATTTTAGAACATGCAGAACTTTTTATAAAGAATACATTTTCTTCGTAAAATGTTGCCAACTGAAGTACTTTATACAGATAAAGTTACTACAAACATACTTTTTTTAGTATTCTTGTTTTAGAACAGTCAAGTTTTTAAAATAAAAAAATAATATAAAATTAAACCTCAAACTTGAACAGTACTTCTGTACCCCAGAAAATTAATGGGTTTTAATAGTGTTTATCAGAAAAAAAAATTAATATATACTAAAATAGCACTAAAACGGTACAAAAAAAATACTCCAAGAATTTAGCAGACATTTCAGATTATTGCCCTTAACTTTATTAACTAAACAATATGTTTTTATTAAAACAATAGTAATTGGAAAGATTAAGCTTCAAAATACTTAAAAATTATATTAAGTAGTTTTTGAATTATTAAGTAAAATAAACTTGTCCACGCTGCATGGTGGAATAACCTTAGCAAAATTACCCGAGGGTAATTACTTTTTACTAGAACCTTAAAATGTAATCTGTAATCTTATAGAAAAAAAAAGGATTCTAAATATATTTTTTGTTTACTTTAATGTGTTTATAAATTTTAATTAATTTTTTATTTTAAATTAATAAAGCATTTTTATGTTTTTATTAGAACAATAGTACCTAATAAGATTAGAGATTAGAAAGATAAGACTTCAAAATACTAAAAAAATCATTAAAATATAAGAAATAGAAAAACAAAGATTAAGTGGCCAATGTAAAAATCACAAGTCTGGTAAAAATGGTAAAAAATATTATTACGACCTTCAAAAATAATCGCAAACTTAAAAAAAATGCCTACATATGTTGCGTTACGCTGACTGATCAATTGTATAATATACAAATAAATCTTATTAGTTCGACATATTCAAGTGAAATTGGACGGCTTTCTGCAGAATGGGACCAACCCACACCATGATGAAACTGAGAAAAAAGCTATCAAAGATTTTAATAATTTTAAAATTACCTTTTAATTTTATGCCGATTTTAGACGGAGGTTTAAGGGATATAATTTAATAATTTCATCAGGTGGATTTTGTGATGTTATGTGTAAGCGTGACGAAAAAAATGGGCTTTTGTTGGTTGGTTCCTTTCTGCAATTTATAAAAACTACTATCTGATGTATGTATGTATTTAAAGAAAAGCGACAATTATTTATTTCCAAACAAAATACAACTCATATTACTATTATAATGGTAATATAAATTAATTTTGATTCTATTTGAAATTCGTCCACATCATCTTCCAACCCCACCTCATCTTGTAAGCTACCAAAAAAATGCATCAAGACTTTATATTTTGCAGAAGCAGGAAATCTTTAAAGACTTTAGTAGTGGGTCTACCAGCCTGCTTTTTTACAAAAAAGATCCAACCCACTTGCAGATATTCTACAGATTCTAATTCTGGATTAGTAATCCACACTATTATTGAATGTTGGTTGGTTCAATGATTAATAGATTTCACTACACTTGCATTTTGGCATTTTGCAGATAAATTATACATACTTAATTAGTTCATAGGCTAAATATCTCGATTTTTTTGGTTTTGTGGGTTGGTTCCTTTCTGCAGAAAGGCGTTCAATTGTAAAGAGCGGACACCATATATGGTGTAAACTAGAGACCCTTTTGTTGAATGGTCTCTATAGACTATAGTCTCATCTACAGTGTAAACAAACAAATCTAAAATGTCAATTCAGGAAATTATTGTCAAAAATATTTTTATTCGAGGATTGTTTGCAACGCTATATGCCTGAACTACAAAGTAGCTTTTTTACTGTTAATAAAATAAAGTGTGTAGTTTATAACTCGTATATAATGTACATTTATGCTTAAAGTTTCGTAGTTTAATAGTTAATGGTTATAGGGAATTTAATGGCATTTCTACTATGGCTTTGTATTTTGGTACCTATATGGTTTGCGGTCTAATAGCATTAGTTCGATTTGACACTTTGAAACTTTTGTGTGTTTAAATATAATTAATATTTCTATTACACACCATTATTAAAACCAAATCGAGTAATTTATATAGAACATAGCGTCATTTTTATATATTATTTTGATAATTATTATTATTTATGCATAATTAATTTAAAAGCATTAAATCCAAAAGCACTAATTGGGCTTCACGATAAAAACATCTAGATCCAGTAATAAAATTCCCAAATTTTGATATGGATTGAAAGATATTGTCATAAATCCTGACTTATGATTTATATAAATAATATTCATTATGAAAACATTATTTAAATTTTTCTATTTTAAGTTATAGTTTTTTTTATCCAAGATAAGGTTTAAAACTAAAGGTGAATTTATAATTTAGATGTATAAACTTGAAATACATTTCAAGTTATATTACAATTGTTATGTGTATGTAGAATATAAAGTATTTAATTATAATTATATGTTAATTTAATTGGAAATATTTCTTGAAGATAATGCTTTTACAATTTACAATTGATTCAAAATTCTTGATAAAAGAATAAAATTGAAATTTATACCACAATATTTTTCAATTCCCACCTTTAAAACGCCAATTATCGTACATGTTTCCATGACACTAAGTGATCTTTTAAATACACATTGACAAGTTATGGCTTTATGGCGCTTTAGTCATGGGCTAAAGTTAGCAACAGATTTTTAGTAACGGGCTGAAGTTAATTTTAAGTTAGTTTATATAGTGTGTAACTCGTTAATAAACTTTTCTAGACACTCATTTAATTAAGCACTCGCTCGCAAGCATAAATTAAATTCGTTACTAAAATGGCGTTTATCAAACTTATAACATAATATACATAGGTACTATTATTAATTATTATATTATTTACATTTATTTAAATTTTATTGTTAATAATAACAATATGTTTCGTACTATTTAAATATGTATGCTTGTACAGTGCTTTTTTATAATGCGTTAAAGTACATTTAAAGTAAAATGTGTACTAATAAATTTTATTAAGTATCAATTTATCTTTATTTAGTTAAATTACATTGTTTATAATAACAATAGGTTTAGTAACAGCTAATATTAAATAAGGTAAGAAAAATAGGTACACAAAAATCCTAATAAAAATTCCATTTTTGGTTTAATGTTAAAAAAATTAAAATGAATAAACAAAATATAATAATTAGTTTGCTACTTATAAATTTAATTTGGTTAAATTATTAAAATATTTTAAATACACTAATTACAATGAATTAATTTTACTACTCCTCATTGTCGTATTATTTATGGCGCTAAGCTTTTAAATACAATGTATTTCATATTCTACCTTCCTAAACATATTAAGACTTAATAATTAAGTAATAAAGGACAAACAACATTTTTATTCTTAACACGTTCACTGCCGACGAAATAGTCCGCCCATATTGCAGTGCCGATGTTTTTTTTTTGGAAATTTTAGCTAAAAATGGACTAAAAGTTGTTTATCGTTTCTTATCGTAAGGTTCTATATGAAAAAATACTAAAACAAAAAACAAATAAACAAACGCGGTAGACGCGTTGGCGGCACCCAGCGACAAAAACAATGCTATATGCCACCGTACAGAACGCGGGTCCCGCGTGCTCGGCATATTGTAAAATACACAAGAACGCGGTAGCCGCGTTGCCGGCAGTTAAAGGGTTAAAAACAATAAAATTTTGCTTTAATTAAGTAAGTTAACAGTTGTCAAATGTCATACAATCTGTTAAACGTCAAAATAAAGCGATTATAATGATCTTTTGATGTAAGATTTTTTTATTTATTTGTTTTTAAAAAATATTTAATGTTTGTTTTGTCGTAGAAAAATGTACAAAAACATCCCAATTTTAGCAAAATTGTAAAAGGAAACTCATTTGATAGACCTATAAATTATACCTGTAAATTTGGCTTCGAACTCCCGAAATGCAAAACTCGAGCCAGGAATAATTAATTATTCTAATAATTATAATTAATAAAAGTCCTGGGCATAAAAAATGTTGACCTGTGTTATAAATAAAAACAAAAACTAAGGATATTAAAACTCGATAAGCAATTATTTTTGGAGTGTTGGGTTATAGTTTATTTTTGGTAATGACTGCCATAAAATAACGGTTTAATCAATACTAATATGTGTTTTTGTATGCTGTGTTAAATTAATTTAAGTCGTGAAACTGATTTTTTCCTATCAATATTTCAGATAAAGTGGATTGTCGATAAAAAGGAATAAAGTTCCATTGATCGTGAAGCAAATAGAATTTAAAGGACCGAGTGCGAAATAAAAAGTGTTTTTCTGATGTTAAGCTAAATTTTAAAAAGGAAGTTTTTACGAACGTTTATTACCGAGTTTTATTGGTGGACGTAAATCAATTCGGCCGCTTTTAAAAAGAAGTGAAACGTTTTTCCAAACGTTGTGCCTGTGATTTGTAGAAAAACGACAGTGCTTTGTATTAATCGCAGCTGTAATGGAAGTGATGGATAAGTTGGTTATTCCAGAGCCACAATGGATTCTGGATAGAAGTGGATCGGGGCCCGCTTTTTGGAGAAGGGACAACGGAAATAATCAAAGGTACCCTTTTAAATTAAATCTTTGGTTCTAAAAAAGACTGTAAGGATTTTCAAAAAAACAATTTTTTTCCTGTCTAACAAATAATTCTTTACTCTAATTTTGCATAAATATAAACTTACTTTTATATTGTTATTTGTTGTATTGTGCATTAATTAAATTCTATTTACAGGCGTTTTTATAAAAATTTCAAAAATATAAATGTTTTCGGAAACATTTAAAATATTAAAATAAATATTAAACCGATTTTGAAAATTCTAAATTAATGTTTGCAATATTTAATCTCCAATTTTTTTTTGCAGTATGACAAAAATGGCAATTAATAGAAATGCGTTGTATATTTTCTTTCCATAACAACCGTTTTTAGATGTTTTATAAATCGGTATAAAAAATATACAGCGTTCCGAGTCTTTTAAACGTAAATGCCTAATAACTCACACTAAAAAAGTGGTATAAACCCCTCACAACGTGATTACCGTTGGTGAGCCATTTTTCGGACATCCTGTATATCCATCCAAACATCGCTAGCCGCCGTAATTTTATAAACATTTAAAAAATATGTTAATTGCTTTTACGCACTTTTTTAACTTTTAATTAGAAATAAAGTGTCCCAAGAAAGTTAGTTCTAAAAACTTAAAACCCTAAACAACAATGTAATTACATCGTTACGTCGCACTATAGCTCAAAACCACCGTTTTGGAAAAACAATTCAATAACTTTTGTATTACAAATACAATTTTTTTCTTTTTTACTGTGTTACGTATAATTTACTATTTTTTGATAAAAAAAATAAAGGTTTTTATTGCGTTTTTAGATTAAAAAGCACCGTTTTGAGGAAAAATTCAAAACTTTATTAAGAACAAATACTCCGTTTTTACTTTTTAAGTGTGTTAAGTAAATATTATTTTAATTTAAAAAGTAAAGGTTTTCATTTTTTTTATTTAAAAAATTATCAAAGCTCAAACCTATTAATAATTTCCTCACTGAGTATAAGAACGTATCGCAAGACCCACCGGCAACGCCTTACACTGATTTACCCCCTTTCGGTTCTCCTACGTATCCCACCACTGCACAGTGTTACCTGTATTTGGTGGATCCGAATTTTCACCCCGGCAGGTAAATCTTCTCTAGGAGTTCGTGGATGACAGTGTCGATGGTTAAGGCCACTCCCGGATTTTTGTCGCCGGGTCAGACCATACGCCCGATTTAGGCTAGTGGAGTGTAGGGAGCCTTGAACTGACCCAAAACTAAGTACAATCCGGACTCCCCTTCAACCAGGATTTTAGTAATAACCCCATTCATTTAGGGTTAATGAATGGGGACTTGATTGGTTAAAATGCTGCTGGGGTTTATCCTTGCTGGTTTTTGAAGTACTTCAGGTTCGTCTGTGTCCTCTCTGTCCGGGTCATATTCCCAGCTTGTTGATTATCTATAACGTTGCACCCATATAAACAATATTATTCTTAGAAGTGCGGTTGCAATTGTTTATTTTCCCTTAAAACGTTTGAAGATTTAGCCACTTCGGTTGGTAACCCAATACAGGGATGGTAATGGGCTCTTAGGCCGTTTAATAAACAAAGATGCATGCTATATGAAACGTACGAATAAGTGAGATAAACGTATAAATAAGAGAGACAAACAACCATTGTTGAACGAATAGGATAACAAAATACTTATTTCCCCTCTGCCATAAGCGTGCAGTACAAGATTTTAAAACGTTTAAATCAAAACAATTAAACGTCCGCCAATGTTTTACTTCCCCTCCTCTAACTGCTTTACAATCCGACCAAGATACATACACCTTAAGATAGGATTGTGCGCATGTTGGGCGGGGCTTAAATATGTCACTTGATTAAATCTTTAACGTGCTTTTTAATGATCTGCTGCTAAAATTCTTGTTTTTGCGATGCTGTTGGATGTTAACTTGCACTATTTTTTGTTTAACTTGTTGTTTTTGCTTCCGGTAAGGTTCGAATTACTTTTTAGTGTTCAAATTATTGCTATTGCGTTGTGTTAACCTGTTCTGTTAGTTTATTATTGTTCTTGTGTTGCGTTAACTTGTTTTGTTTGTGTTTTAGTTTGTGTCGTACCATTTGCATTTATTAAAATGCGGTATGGCATATTTGGATGCAATTTAGACAACCAGTCCAAGAAAAACCCTTTAAATAAAAACATTAAATTTAATCGATTCCCGAAAAACTTTGATTTGTGGAAACAGTGCACTGCAGTGGTTAAATGCCACAAAAAGAATAGGCAATATTAACGTTAAGACCGCTTCTGTTTCCTAAAGGGTGGACCATGTTTATGTTGAATTATAAAATAGCAATGAGAACAAGAAAAACTGATTTTTTTTCAACGAATTTTGCTTTATTTGATACAATGTTTCTTCCGATTAAGTATGGAAAATGATTTTATTAAAGTGGCCTCAGCTCGGCAGTAGCCCATCCTGGAACACCAATTTTCGAGCACTTTGTCAAAAGTTTGCTGCTTTATTTAGGCAATTTGAGCTTGAATGTTTTGTTTTAAATGGTGAATAGGCTTTGTTACGGTGACGTGTGGATTTTCCGTGGCCCAAATCCTACAGTTTTGCTTGTTGACATAACCTCCGAGGTAAAAATGCGCCTTATCTGAAAAGATGATTTTTCTTGCAAAATTAGGGTCATCGTTCAACTGATTTAAAGCCCACGTTGTGGTTGGTCAACTTGCTTTAACTCCTGAACAAGCTGGACTTTGTACGCAAACATACCGATGTCTTTGTGCAGAATCATCCTCAGAGTGGTACGGGAAAGGCCGAGTTGTTGACATCTGCGCCGAGTTGATATTGACGCGTTCATGCGTACATTTTCGGCCACAGCAGCGATTGCTTCAGGTGTACGTCTAGGACGAGCATGCGAAACATGTTTTATGTCCACCAGCATTCCATTTATGCGCAATTTTTTGATCAAATTTGTAATACTTTGGTTTGACGGCGCGCGGCGCCTCATTTCTTCCAAACGCAATTTTCATGCCGTCTTTGCGATCACAGTCACATTCAAAGTAAGTTTTGAGTATTTCGAAACGTTGATCCAAATTTATTCGGTGCATATTTTGTAATCGGAAGGTTAAAACTAAACCACTGTCAACAATTCATGGCGCTTAAGTTGAAAGCTTCATTAATAGCACGTAGTTTAAAATTCAACTTATAGATGGCCCACCCTTTATAAATATTTTCTGGATAGTGGCTATAAGTTTAATTTAAAACACCAAGGCTTAAACTACAACCCTAGATGTTATCAAGGACTAAAAGCATCTATTATAATATGGATATATCCATATTATAACACTTTCTTCAATATTAAGTTTAATAAAAACGCACTATGTCCAGATATTTCTCTATTTTCTTTGATAATATTACTATTATTCGTGTATTCGCACGGCAACTACTCATCAAGTGACGTCATGCGCGGCATGAACCAAATCTCGTACACGGGAGCATCCAGCCCTGGCGTGGCGCGGTCTGGCCTGCCCCACCACTATTACGTCACTCCACCACTCCCACGTCTCATAATGCATTTGTCTTTATTTATTAAACGGCCTAAGAGCACATTACCATCCCTGTATATGGTCCCCTTAATGACTTAGTAATCTACATATGTTTATTTCTTTAGGATGAGTTTCTTTTGGTTAGTGTTTATAAGAACTTAAGTGATTAATGACTTCATATGTGTGCCCTTGTGTTTATAATTTTTTGACTATGATGCTTTTTTTTAACTGATTGCGACTAATTAATTTTACCAGATGGATTCTTTGTAAGTTAAAGGTTGGTGATTTCGTATTAAAATTTAGTATTATTATTATTTGGGAATTATATGGTCATGCAATTTTGGTACATTATACATACTTATGATTTATGCAGACTTGGACTTCGGGTGAATTCAAAGGCAGGTGTGTGTGTTCCTTAACCCCGACCGCCCACTTTAGCACGTGTGGTAGTCCAGGAAATAACACGTTGAAACTCGTCTCACTCACAACTTTATCCACAGGGGACCTAATCCAGGGGGAGGTACCACACGCAATTTGCACTCTTTTTGCACTTGGATCTGGTATATCAAGTGTAAAATCATTATTAATTTTTTGATTTGAAAACGCCCATTATCGTACATGTTTCCATGAAACTTTGAAATATCTCAGTTAGTATGCATTTTACGAAAAAATGTTTAAAATAAAAATTAAATGATTCCAGGTGGGAAATCAATCAGTATCAGTACTTAAATTGGTCCTCATACTCTCCTACTTATAGGGGGAACAGGGGGTAACTTTAAAATTTCCAAAGGAACACCCTATTTTTTATTGCAGAATCGGATCATTCGACTAAAAATAGGTAGATTTTGTCTAAAACATTTTTTCATATTTTTAATAGATGGCGCTGTAATGAAAAAAAATCAAATTTGTTCGATTTTTCTTCTGAATCCTACTTGATATTTAAAATATAAAACATATTTACAAATTTTTATATAAAAAAAAATAGTTTTTAATAATCGTATAAGTAGATGCATGTTTTTGATGTTATGAAATAACAAATTTTCATAACGTAACTTTTTTTTATTTTTTAAAAATTACAAGGTAAAAATATGGGTCAATACATTATATGACCTATATTTTCTCGAAACAAAATCAAAAAACAACTATTTGCTTTTATAAGAGTCATTACTAATGACCCATGATGAAAATGATCTTAAGATATATAATTTAAAAATATAAAATGATAATTATAATTAATAATTAAACAAAATGGTAAATTAGTAGTTGTTAAACGTCTTTTAAAACATAGAAAAAAAAACTGGTTTAAAAAACAAATTTTCTTATTAATAATAAATATAAATTACTTCTTAAACAATTAATGTAAGGGAATGAGCGAAATTTAATTAAAATCATGATAATAAATTGCTAGTAAATTGTGAAAATGCTTTAATGGCATTGCAAACATATTTGCGCTAGGGAAACTATTCAAACTAAAATTATTTAATCAGTAAAGTTGCACGCACAAACTAATGAAAAGTAAAACTCAACAACAGATCTAATAAATGTCAGTGAGCCATCAATTCAGTCCAAACGCCGGAGAAAATAAACATGTTTGACTTTTCCACTTTGAAAATTGAACCAACTTCCTTCAAAGTTCATAACATGGAAGTGAAGTGCATATCCGCAAAATGACCAAAGTTTGGTCCAACTTTGCTCCAAACAAAATAACAGGCGATCGCCTCTCTTTAGTCGATTTAGCTCTCGAGATTAAACGTGACGTCAACGGCCGAAACTTGATACTGTACAGTGTACACGTTTTGCTCACGCTTAACCTTTGTGATTTATACATTTTAGGGTTAAAATTAAAAGTTAAGTAAAGTTTTAGTTTACTAGATAAGTAAAAATAATTAAATTTTCCAGTGCTAAAATTTGCGTCATTATCAAGGTTAAAATTTATTTAAAAGGCAACCATTAATTTTACATTTAACTAACTTGGGTAAAGCCAAAAAAAAATTACAAGCTTATGAAGTTAAAAAGTAGATTTTGAATCCCTTCCAAATGAACAAGAAATTTGGATATTCAGGAATACAGATTTTTTTCCATTAATGGTAATTACCGGGCAAGGAGTAATTGCAGAAAAATTACTTCGCGCATGTGTTAGGAGCACTATTTTTTCTACAAGCAAGGGAATCTCGCAATTTTCTTTATCAATTTCCATTTTTAACTTTTTTCTACAAGCCTGCGAAAAGTTGCTACTTGTATTTTTATATTACATTATTTTAGCAATATTTTTTGTTTTTAATAATGGTATATTCTATAACAAGTTTGGAATACGGCATATTCCGCTGGAGTGAAAAGTTTGTCACACGAGCCGAAGGCGAGTTTGACGGTTTCACGAGAGCGGAATAAGCAATTCCAAACGTGTTGCAGACTATACTATAGAAAAATAATTTAATTCGGATAAAGTGAGGTTGGATCGGTTTAAAATTTGTTGGATATTAAAAACAGGGATGTCGCCACCATTGTTTATTCCGTCATCCGATGATAGAATATTTTATTCTGTAACACTTTACTGAATATATGGCATTCCATATATAAATGTCATATTAGAACGGTCAATATGCACGGAAAAAAATAATCGGTAGACTCGGTAGACTCTACCGAAAAAATCGGTAGACTCTACCGATAAAATTGGTAGTCTCTACCGAAAAAAAATCGGTTCCCTCAACCGATTTTTATCGGTAGCAGCTACCGATTATTTTCGGTAGAGTCTACCGATTTTTTCGGTGCAGGCTACCGAAAAAATCGATTACCAATTTTTGAAATTTTTTGTATTTTTTTAGCGAGAAGTTAAATACTCCCTTTTTATTAAATAGAAAATAGTATTTTTTTTTGAGGTATAAATAAATTTGAAATACAAAAATATTAAAAATGAGGAGTAATTTTTATTAAATTTTTTACAATTCTAAATAAATATTAAATTAAATGTCTGGTGGCTACAAAGTAGAGTAATTTTTATTAACTTGAATAATGTTTAATATTATTTTTAAATGTTAATATTTTTTTTAATTTTCTAACAGCGCATCGATGCGGATTTTCTCGGTTACGGCTACCGAAAAAATCGGTAGACTCTACCGAAAAATAATCGGTAGCTACTACCGATAAAAATCGGTTGAGGGAACCGATTTTTTTTCGGTAGAGACTACCGATTTTTTCAGTAGAGTCTACCGATTTTTTCGGTACAGTCTACCGATTATTTTTTTCCGTGTGAATATACGTTATAGGAGTAAAAAAAATATTTTTTAAAGGCTTTATGATTTAATAATCTTATTCCTGTATTAAAGCATTTGCGTGCGTAAAGTAAGCGTGCGGAAAAGTACAACTTTGCGCGTGCGGATAAGTATTACTTTGCCCACGTGAGTAGACATTTTTTTAAATAATGAACACTTAATATTTATATCTAAAAAATTATACATTCATGAATGTATAATTTTTTAATTTTTATATGCATATAAAAAGTTTTAGTTGTGACATATGGTTGTGGTTTATTAATAACTATTATTTAAATTGAAATGTTGAAAAATATTTAAAGGTTGAAAACTAGTTTAAATAGCCACAAAGGCATTCAAAAATATTATAGTTAAATAATTTTTGAAAGCATTTTTTATCAAAACAATTAATTAAAACGCAAATGATTAAGATAATTATTTTAATTTCAAAGTTGAACTAGACGTAAGTGGTTTGGGATAACATAAATACTTTTGTCAATGTCAATTAAAGTAGTTCATTATTATTAATATTATTATTATTATTATTATCATACATTATTTTTAACCTTTGCTTATTAAATTTCGTTTCCTATTTTATAAATAAGCTTTTAAAATAATGACAACTGGAATCTTGATGTTCACGATCAGAAAGTGATTGATAGAAATTTTTTATTAATATTAGTAAATAACTGAATTTTAGTTATTTATAAAAATGGTTATTATATATATAGGTTCTACAAACAAATTTAATATTGGATATCGAACCAATTTTTTTTAATAAAAAAACTAGACTAGGGGTTTATTTAATTTTGCCGCCACAGACCTCTGACAAACCTGGTCAGCCACAAATTAGGTATACCTAATTTGTGGCTGACCAGGTTTGTCAGAGGTCTGTGGCGGCAAAATTAAATAAACCCCTAGTCTAGTTTTTTTATTAAAAAAAATTGGTTCGATATCCAATATTAAATTTGTTTGTAGAACCTTCGCAATCGGTGTCCAAATCATGGAGCTCACTCATATCTATTTTAGATTAATTATTTATTAATTTATTATTATTAAACCTTTTTTATCCTTAAATGAGGCATTTTGCAGCCGGAAGCCCTCAAATATTTAAATAATAATAATAATAATAATAATATATTACAACCCACAACTAAGTAACATTTTATGTTATGGTCTTAACATTTTGTTTTCGAATATAACCAAACATTTTAAAATTGGAAAAATTATTATTTTAGGGTTAAATTTCGTCACGATGTTGAAGTAAAGGAATTTTGTCGTGGAGACCATGAACTCGAAGAAACCTACATAAGAAATATTGACGAATTTCAAGGAGCTAACATGTTTACCATGGGCGTTACATGTATATTTTGCGTGGCAGTGACAGTCCTGTTACCTTGGTATCTTCTTTTGGGCACCAACTGACGAAAAATTCAATGATGGTTAAGAATCTCAACTTGAGATACTGTTTTAAATGAAGATTGAGAGAAAAAAAATAGTTAAAATAATTATTAAAAAATTAGTTATAAAATGTATTTATAACAACATATAAGTAGGTATGTATTTTTTAAAACTATCTGTATACAAACTTGTATTCGCTATTAATAACTTAATTTGTTTCTTAGTATAATATAATTACACTAGTTTACAAAATCGAAAAGAAATTCTGCCCACCATATCCCATTATAATTTTCCAATGTATTTTGACCCACTAAACACGAAAATCACACTCAATTAATTTTTATGGAAGCGTTTTTGAAATATGAATTTTCGGTTTTGGCGTTTTTGAGTTTGGTCAAACAAGCCCTTAAATTGAAGGTATTTGAGCCCTCTAAAACTTTCTTTTACATACTTTAGATATCGGATAAGTATTTTGACGCTAGCGATTTTAATATTTTAAAAAATTCGTTTTTATGGCAAAAATTAAGGTTGATATTTACATCAAAGGATAACTCCAGTTTAATTTCTTTTCGTGAAGCTGACATTTTTACAAAAAAAAACAATCTAATGTTGATAAAAATACATGAAAAAATGGCGAAGTTATCAATTTTTTAGTGGAAGACCAAAATTCAGCTTTTTGACGATTTTTATTTTATTTTGTAATATGTTTATTCTTCAATAAAAACCTAAATAAAGTCTATGATTGGAATTTTTTGAGTTTTTTACGTTCTTTTTTCACCGAAAACATTATTCAAAATTTAAATTTGACATGACTCCACAAACGTGAATTCTTTTGTTTCTCGTATTGGCATAGTGATATTTTACTGATATGTTTTGATATTTCAACAAGGTATTTTTATCATGGTTTTATTTGGTTGATAAAAAGTGTAAAATGTAAAAGAAGTAGAGATTTCAAGTGCGTAAATAACCCGCACAATCTGGGCAACGAAGTGATGAGCACGGATAAAGTTTTCACCAGCAAATGAAGGCTATGGAGCGGCGGTATCACGGCTTTTGGGATGCAGCCATGATGGGTGATTACATTTGGTCCCTCCCCAAAAGCAACAAAAAACAAAGGAGCCAGAATTTTTTTAAACCTATGCTTATTAACCCAAAATAAAACTTTCAATTTCTTCAATGTTCAATATTTATTGTTTAATATTTAATATATAATTTAATTTCAATATTAAATGTTATATAATTCAATAAACTGAAGAAAAAACGTAAAAATTCTCGAAAAACAGAATTTTGGTCTTCCACTGAAAAATTCATAACTTCGCCATTTATCCATAGATTTTTATAAACAGCAGCTTATTTTTTTCCTTTAAGTATAATCTATACGTAAAATAAATCAAACCAGAATTATCCTTTCGATTTATGTCTTTCCCAAAAAGATATGTAAATTTTAGACCTCGATTTATGTAAAAAAAAAGTACTTTTTCAACTTCGTAAAATCGCCAGTATCGAACTACTGAGCCGATACCAAAACTATACAAGAGAAAGTTGTAGAGGGCTCAATTACCTTTGATTTAAGTGCTTTTTTGGTCAAACCGATCAATTAGAACTCAAAGTATACTTTAAAACGTCAACACACCTCAGGAAATTAAAAAAAAAACAATTAAAAATTCAAACCTGGGAAACGCTTCCATGAAAAAAAATTAAGCGTGATTTTCGCGTTTAGTGAGCCAAACTACACAAGAAAATCATAGTGAGACATGATGGGCAAAATGACTGTAAAGTAGTGTTATTATTCGATTCTAAAACAAAGTTTATCCTTAATTTAATGACATTACACTATTTACAAACTAAGCCTTACTTTCTCGTACATAAACATATTATGTTATTGAAAAGTTTTTTTTTAATACGATTTTTTATTTACTCGTAAAGTGGTTTATATGATATGTTTGATTGACTTAATTTAAATTTATTTATGAGATAAACTTTGTAAGGGGTCATTGGTATAGCTGATTAAATGATTGTGATATTAGAAATTTATCGTACTTTTATTTGTTATTGTATCATAAGCATGGAAAGTTAAAGTTATTTTAAATAACTTATTTATTTAACTTAATTATTTAAGTTTAAATTATTTTTATATATTTTATGCATACAAATATATTTATTTTCCCAATAAACCTGTATAATTTGTATAAAATTCATGTATTGTAAAATAAATATAAAATAAGGAATGGTATTATTAAACCCACGTTAAAACAATAAATTTTGCATATTGCACTTTATTTTTCTAAAATCAAATATGGATTTCCGCGCCCAATGGAATAATAATTATTGCAACCTGTTTTCTTATTACTTGGATGGGATAATAAAAACTAAATTTACATGACAACGTAATAATTTACTAATATTAGCCATATTTTATAAATAAAGTAATCCACAAAAATACAGCAGTTCTCAATCCGAAATTTTAATTGACCTAATGATATTTGTTAGTATATGGATTTAAATGCGTTTTTTAGTACTACGTAGACTATAAAATGTATAAATTCAACAATTTAAATTATATAATTTGAATGGTTGAATTTCTACAGTATGTTAACGGATTGAGTTACAAAGAGGATTTTTTTATTTTTGATTTTAAAACAAAAATAAAAAAATCATAATTTACTTTTGATAAAATGGTCTGCTTGTCTTTAAAACCTTAAAACTCATCTAGTTTTTAATTTAACTTTTACGGTTAATTTCGTACTCACATTTTTATACCAAAATTGTAATTGGATTTGGACAAAATTTTATTTAAAATTGAAAGGCATAAAAGTAGGCGACTTTAATTTGTCAGATCGCCTATCGAACTTTACTTTCGGTACGACTAATAAAACTACAGAAATTGTTGACTTTTGAGCAAAAAACGTAGATAATTCAATAGCGATAGAGACCTATGCTACTACCGAATGGTAGTGAACAAATTAACTAGTATTACACTCTCTAAAAATGAATTAGTCAAAAATGACTAATTACTACATTTATTAGTGGCTGCTTATACCATGGTATACCATGGGATAGCATGGTATCCCCGATATAATATAATCCGAAAATGTCGTCAAAAGTTATAAAAGTAAAAGAGATATAGTCAATTTTCCATATAATATGGAATTGACTATATCTCAAAAACTGCTATACTTTTACAATTTTTGACAGTATTTTCGGATTTAGGGGACAATTTTACATAAGAATTGGCTATTATATCGGGAATACCATGCTATCCCATGGTATACCATGTATAAGTGAAAAAGCAGCCACTAATAACTTTAGTAATTAGTCATTTTTAGAGAGCAGTTAATTTCCCACTTATATTTTTATTTCCACCTTCTTAGTAAATGACATTTTATAGGTAAATTTTGTTATTTTTGTATCCAAGTAAACGATATTATGGGAACAGACCTGTAATATTTTACGGGCTTGTATAAAAGACCTGTAAAGTTTACAGGCTTGTAGAAAAGCAATTTATAAAAAAAATGTCAGATTTGACAAATTAATTAAAATTTTAAATTTAAAAATTGTTATCTAAAGATGAAAATAAAAGTTTGTACGTGTCACGCTTTGCAATTAATCTTTACTAGTCTCACTGGATTATACAAACTTCCAGCTCGCCAGAAAAGATTCATTTACAAAGCTTAACACGTAAATAACTATAATATGTAGGTACCAAATTTTGACAAAATTTTATTTTAAAATTAGTAAAACTAGACACAAATAATTTAATTGAAAGAAAGATAAAATATATATTAAAAAAAATGGGCCATTCCTCCCCATTCATTCTTCCCCAAACTTCTCTGTAAGCCAATTGCGAAGGTTATGAGAATCATGTTGGAAGTACAGGGTGGTCCACGTAAGGTGACCCATATACTTATCTCAGAAACTACTGGAGTCACAAAAATTTGTAAGAAACAAATATTTACGAAGTAAAAAATATTTTTAAAATATTATATTTTCATTTATACAGGGTGTTCGGTTTTCCTTGGGACGATACCAACTTTCTTATTTTCAATGGAACACCCTGTATTTTTTTGCATTTTTGAATTCTACCCACTCTTTTAGGTATACTTTGTAAATATATTAATTAAGAAAATGTTAATACTTTTTGAGTAAAATTAAGATTTATTAAAATTTCTCTAAATGTACACTCGCTAAAAGTTAAAAATAATCAACTAAAAGTTATTATTTTTTATATTATGCAGTATCCATCTCTTTAATAATAATTAAGCTATAAGTTAATTATTATATTTTTTGGAAAATATCATACAGGGTGTTTTCTATGTCCCGTTGAAAATAGCGATTTTAAAAGTTTAAAATCTTGTTTTTCTTCAATGGAACACCCTATATATTTTTGCATAATTGGATAGAATAAGTAATTACCTTTCATATTATATGTATATATGTCCTATACCTAAACCTAACAGAAAAAAAAATATTCGCATTTTTCACAATTAGTAGCTTTTTTCCATTTACCTTAGTTAAATTTTCATTATTCAAATAAATAAATTTCAATAACAACAAATAAAAATGCTTTTATATATAAATATATATTACTATAATAATTACCATACGCGTAAAGCTACTAATTTTGTAAAATGCCAATATTTTTTTTAGGTGATCCACGTAAGGTGACCCATATACTTATCTCAGAAACTACTGGAGTCACAAAAAATTTGTAAGAAACAAATATTCACGAAGTAAAAAATATTTTTAAAATATTATATTTTAATTTATACAGGGTGTTCGGTTTTTCTTGGGACGATACCAACTTTCTTATTTTTAATGGAACACCCTATATTTTTTTGCATTTTTGGATTCTACACACTCTTTTAGGTATACTTTGTAAATATATTAATTAAGAAAATGTTAATACTTTTTGAGTAAAATGAGGATTTATTAAAATTTCTCTAAATTTAGACATTCGCAAAAAGTTAAAAATAACCAACTAAAAGTTATTATTTTTTATATTATGTAGCATTCATCTCTTTAATAATAAGTAAGCTATAAGTTAATTAATTTATTTTTTTGAAAATATTATACAGGGTGTTTTCTTTGAATAATGAAAATTTAACTAAGGTAATTGAAAAAAAGCTACTAATTGTGAAAAATGCAAATATTTTTTTTTAGGTTTAGGTATAGGACAAATATATATAATATGAAAGGTAATTACTTATTCTATCCAATTATGCAAAAATATATATTGAATAAAAACAAGATTTTAAACTTTTAAAATCGCTATTTTCAACGGGACATAGAAAACACCCTGTATGATATTTTCCAAAAAATATAATAATTAACTTATACCTTACTTATTATTAAAGAGATGGATACTACATAATATAAAAAATAATAATTTTTAGTTGGTTATTTTTAACTTTTAGCGAGTGTCTACATTTAGAGAAATTTTAATAAATCTTAATTTTACTCAAAAAGTATTAACATTTTCTTATTTAATATATTTACAAAGTATACCTAAAAGAGTGGGAAGAATCCAAAAATGCAAAAAAATACAGGGTGTTCCATTGAAAATAAGAAAGTTGGTATCGTCCCAAGGAAAACCGAACACCCTGTATAAATGAAAATATAATATTTTAAAAATATTTTTACTTCGTGAATATTTGTTCTTTACAATTTTTTTGTGACTCCAGTAGTTTCTGAGATAAGTATATGGGTCACCTTACGTGGACCACCCTGTACATTGAATTATAATAATTTAATGGCAGGTTATCAATTTGTTCCCTAAAAAAGTGTTTCTAAATAACTGTGCTAATTTAAATTCCCACTAATAAAATACGGCCCAATCACGCCATGATATGTAATAGCGCACCATAAGTTAATTTTTTTAAATATTGTTTTCGGGCAGGTATGGTAAAATGTGGATTTCGACTGCTCCAATATCAACGATGTTGGAATGAAACTACACCATTGATGGAAAATGTGGATTTATCAGAAAATACATGTGGC